TTATAAGAGAAGTTTCAGGATTGGAGATATGACAACTAAATATGATAGAATCCAGATGAGACATCCCAGGTCCTAAAGAAAACAGTACCTTAAAACTGAAGGGCCCAGATAAAATCCGAGTTTTAGAGATTAATAATATACCAGTATTTGTTCATTAGAGTAGGTAAAAAACACAACATAAGACATAGCTAGCAGAGAAAATTTGGGTGGGGTATACAGAAACCCCCTGCACTCTGCATTGTCTTTGTAACTTTTTGTGTATCTAAAAGGGTTGTCATTTTTAAACTTATTAAAACGAGAGAAAAGGCAGCAGCTGGCTGGGCACGGAAGCACAGGAGAACGTGTGAATTTGAGGCCAGCATGGTCTACATAACAAGTTCCAGTCTCCTCAAAATAAACCAAAAGTAAAAGCAAGCGACTAGCCCTGGTGATGATTCAGCCCCATTCCTGGGTCAGGGAAGGCGAACAAAGCAGCCATAGATGAAGAGGAAGCATGCTGGAGGCACACACAACTATCACCTGACTAACAAGAAGCAGGGTGATTACACTCCGCATCTCACTGCTCTCTAACTGGGTCCCCAGGGAGACAATAAAGACCTGTGAAATTTACACCCCAATCTGAACTGAGTCCAAATCACCAATTGCCAGTGAACCCTCCCGGCATTAGACAAGAAATCTAAACCAGAGCATTTCCCTGTTTTCAGAGAGGTGTGGGTTTTACTTCTCTTCACTTCTCTCTCTTAGTTTCCTTGAGAACAACTATGAGGGAGAAGGAAACATTGGAATCAGATGGAAGGAATAAAACTTGAGATAAATGGCACAGAACCAAACACAGGGCTGGAGCTGAAGCAAATCCTGGCTGTGATCGGAATTCGGGCTTTTCCTACATGAATGAAGAACACTTCTTTGCCAAATGCATGGATATGAAACTATGCACAATGAATGAACATAGGTTCGTTAATTTTCCCAAATGCCACAGAACACGCCATTTCAGGCCAGCAGCTGCTCAAGTTGATGCCATTAACACTTTGGTCCCTTCCTAATGGGCTCCCTCCCCGAGGTCCAAGGCACACCTTTGGATTTTATGGAAAGATTCTGTTTATCTTCTGGATTTAGTGGAAGAGAGGCTGGATTCTTGAGGACACTTTTGCCTGAGTCAAGAAAGCACCTCACACGCTTTTTCTGGGATGGAAATTTTCCTATTAGAAATCATATTTGAAAACTTCACACAGAATCAGCTAAAACCAGAACTTTTCTGTATAATGATGAAGAAAGGAGCCAGTCCCTAATTGTATTGACCATGTTAATGCATAAACTGAATTTAAGTATATAAAAAGTGTCATCACTTATGAGAATACATTTAAAAGCTAACCTAACATTTAACCATTGATTAGTCGAGAGCATACACTTTCATGATAAATTGTGTTAATATGGAAATTTTCCCTTACATTTGTATGTTTCCTTGTTCTAGGAAACCCCAGGAATTAAAGTGTTCCAAACCTGTAATGAAGCTGCGAAGAGAAAATGCCATGATGTGAAAAATAAATAGGCAAAAACCCCATCTATCCCATAGTCTCCCCTGAGAGCCTAGGAGTGCCAGCTGCCTTTGCAGTCAAGAGCAGGTAAAAAGTGCCAGTCTATGAAATGTGTGTAAAAATATTATGTATTTCTACCGAGCCGGGACTCTAAATGGTTTCATATACCATTTCTCCCTCTCCTGCTCTCTCTCTCTCTCTCTCTCTCTCTCTCTCTCTCTCTCTCTCTCTCTCTCCTTTATCTGAACAGTGGAAGGTATAAACAAATGTCATGAGATGGAGAGAAACTAGATGACTCAGTTTTTCCTTGAGTGAAAATGGTCCCAGAAAGTCATTTTGCCAGCCTCAAACTATGACCCAAACAAAAGATAAAAAACTTCCTGAGTTAGACTACTATGATTTGAAAGTTCATTTATTACAGCAAGACTTGAGATATTCTGACTGACAAGAATACATGAGCTTCCAATATGTCTTTAATTTTATTTGAACACTTTAAAATTTGGCTTGAAAGGTCCGATTTTAGCCTATGTCTTTCCAATGCTATAGATTCCTTCTGAAATTTATTACGAGATAAACGCTTTCTTTCATGAGGAATCTATACAGTTCATTAAAACACTAAAGGTCTATGCATCCTATCACCTGGGGACAAAAGTAATGCTTAATTACAGTATTTGCTTTTTTTCTCTGCGGAGTCTGCTGCCAGTCCTGTCACATGGGTTTCACCCTCTATGTGTCTTCCTAACTATGTTATTTATTTATTTATTTATTTATTTATTTATTTTGGTTTTTCAAGACAGGGTTTCTCAGTGTAACAGTCTTGGATGTCCTGGAACTTGCTTTGTAGACAAGACTGGCCTCAAAGTCACTGAGATCTGCCTGCCTCTGCCTCCTGAGTGCTAGGATTAAAGGTGTGCAACACCACCACCTGGTCTGGTTTTAATATTTTTTAACTACTTGAACCATTTTGGGGAAGAAAGTAAAAAAAAAAAGTAAGGTGTAAATAAATATTTCAAGAACATTAACACCAAGCAAACTGAATGGAACTTAGGCCGAGAATTGTCCTTAAAGGAACATTTTACTTGTGTGATATTAAAAGCTGTCCATCAATGGGTCTCTTTAAGTGGATATCGAATCACATTCAGTGAACTTGTGTTATGTAACATGGGACACATGGAAGTATCTACTTATGAGAAGTGAAGGCTCAGAATTCAGAGGAGTATGCACACAAGTTACTGAGGTTTTAATGTTTGGACCTCCAAAATTCATAAAACCTAGCTCTTTGTGTTAGCAGCAAGAGGTAGAGCTTTTAGAAGCTGGCCCCCTCCTGAGTAGGCTTAGCATCCTCATAAAAGAGGTCTCAGGGCTTTATGTTTTTTGCTGTTCTTCTGCCATGTAAGGATTTAGTAAGAAGATACTATCTATGGATGAGTATGTCCTCACAGATGCTGGACCTGCTGACATTTGACCTTACATTTCTCAGCCTCCATAAATGTGAGAACCATGTTGTTTATAAACTGCCCAGTCTTTGATCATGTACAATAGCTGCCTCAAGAGATAAAGACATGAGTGAATTCAAATAGCTGTGCCATGTTAAGCATAGAGAATGCTTTTGATACATCCACTTTTAGTAGTGGTGACAATGTCTCCCAGTCCCAAAATTGTATTTCTGAGCTTTTGTCCTGGAATGGAGCCAAGAACAGTCAAAGCCACTCTGAGGATACAGGTGGTGGTGGCAGCAGGTGGGAGGCATCCCCTCCCTCACTCCAGGTCTGCCATGGAGAGAGAGCTCCAGCCATGCTGGTAGCACACTGGTCCTTCCAGAACATCTGGATCCTCAGACTCAAACAGATTTCTGGATTCCCACCCCTAATAAAAACATAAGATCAGAAACAAGTTCCTTGTGGTTGGATGATGCAAACTGTTGAAGATTCTTATTCAGAAGAAGGGAATCTGGTAATAAAACACGTTTATGAAATGATGAGATGGCCCTTAGAGTCACTAACTTGAATAAAGAGCTGTGGCATTATTAAGATGATGGATTATGCACCAATTGTAAATGTAAAGATATCCTTTTATTTCAAAGGGAGGCATTTATAAAGTTCATTAACATGAATTTACATGAGATGAATTAAAGGTAACTTTTAGTTTTTAATAGTTTAAGTGCCAAATAGCATGTTTTTTATAGATGGAGAAAATGAATAATATATATTTCATATTCACAAGAAGATAATGTCTTAAAGCAGGATCTAACCAGATTGTAATGAACAAAATTTGGAAGAAATTCTAAGGGAAAAAAACAGCAGTGATGGTTTCTAAGCCATGAATGTTTGCTGTTGGCATCACCTCCCAAAAACATTTCCCTAAGGCTTGTCACCAGTTCACAAGCCTCTGAGTGACATTGGTTTGGACAGAATCAACATACCATTTGGCACTTTTCCTAACAGCAATAAGATGCCAACAATGGCAAGAAAGTGGCACCAACATCATGCCCTTGCTTGTAAAGTTTCATTTTTGTAAAACCAAAGTTTATATTTATTCCAGTTTTTGCTTCTCTTTGTCTTCTAATGAGGCAGGCACTCATTCTAGAATGGAGTGTCCTCCTCACTAGCTGGTGGAGGAACAACAAGTCAGGTCTGTGCTGGCTTCCTCCACCCACATTAAACTCTTTTTAGTATAGTCAATAGCAGAGATGAGAACTGGCCTAGAAAAGGTAAAGTCAAAGAATATGGCTGGGAGGCAGGGATGGAATCGCTTGGGGAAACACTCAGAGGACGGACGTGTTTTAAAACATAGAATGGGGAGAGGGAACAAAGGGAGAAATACAGTCAGTGTACAGGGTCTGGGAGATGGAGGTGTTGGGACTTCATGTCTGAGAGCTGTGTGAGCTTCCAGCAGAGGCATCTAGAGCTCTGAGCACTAGAGAACAGTGAGAGAGAGCTCAGTGCAGGGCCCAGGGCAAAACGGCATCATTGACTGCAGCACTGTGTGAAGACTGAAATGTAAGTCCTCTCTGGTATTTCTAGACCAGGTTTCCTGTATGATTTAAATGAAAAGCAAGGGGGACCCAGGAAAGCTTAGTTTGATGTCTCAACCAGCTGGTGAGTAGCAGGCTGAGTCAGATATGATCTAGAAAAGGGAAAGATGGGATGTTTCCTTTATGTCCAAAACTAGGGAGTAAATGCAAACACATTGCATGCATAGGTCCGTTTAAAAAAAATCAAGAAAATGTCCTCCGATTCTTAAAGGAAACAATTCTAGGAGATACCGGGTGTTTTAGGGCGTATTTCCTGAGATAAGGACTTATGAGCAGGTGATTCTGAAGAATGTAAAGGAGACTGGCACATGAGTGGGTGAGGCCACCAGAAAGTGGGGGGAAGCCAAGCAAGGGTTAGACTTAGACCACCTCTCACAGAAGACAGCCTCTGCCTAATTCTGCAGGTCACTTCACAGTGTAACTCACACCCCTAAACTGTGCCCGGGGGAGAGAGGCAAGCTGAGTTATCCGCCACCCTCACTTCAGACCCTTCATCAAGGTCTGCAGGCAAGGCTTGGAGTCTAAATTCTCAGGGACTTTGGGCTGAAGAACTCTCTGAATAGGCTTCAAAAAACAAACAACAACAACAACAAAACAAAAAACAACAAAAAAACAAACAGTTTTCCAGAGAGCTTCAACCATTGACTTGGAAATAAATGCACAACACAGGGCAAGGAAGTGTGCTCCAGACTAGTGTCTGAGCAGAAGCCTCACCATGATCCTTGACCCCATCCCCAGAAAGGTGCCTTTTAAAATGCATTTTACAAACAGAAGGACGCGGAGTTGACCATGAGAACACCAAGGAGAACATCTAGCAGAGAGCTGGACCTACAGCAGGGAGACTACTGGTGTGTCCTAGCGATAGACTCAGAACAAGCATAACTGTAAGTCCAGCCCATCTGTTCAGTCACCCTTGTCCTATAAACATGTGGGTCTTTTTCTTCACTCATACCTCCTCCAGGGTCATTTCTTCAAATCACAAGCTCTGGCCATTGTGTTGGGCTTGTCACTTTCCCAGTCCTCCTCTTGTAAGCCCCCTTCTCTATTCTCGCCTTTCCTGGGTTATGTCACCAGCAACCTTCTCTTCTACAGTTTTCTTTTTGGTTTGCTCCTAGCTCAGCCATACTTTACACAATGGTTCTCCTGTTTGTGACCACACATACCCATATAAGGTGCACGCTGTTGTTCTCTCTGAGAGTTGAAATTGGTGCTGCTTCATGAATTATTTTTTGAAAAAGCTGGTTACCTAGATAATTGATATGTAATATGTGCAAACACAGACACACACACACACACACAGAGAGAGAGAGAGAGAGAGAGAGAGAGAGAGAGAGAGAGAGGAGAGAGAGAGAGAGAGAGAGAGAGAGAGACACTGAGGTCCACAGAGAGGACAAGTGACCAAGGTCATTTAATTAACTGGCCATAAAACCAAGCCAAGAACTCAAATACTCAACTCCTTCCATGTTCTTTACTTCCTAGCACACTGCCTCCCAAGTATTCAAGCATTTTATATCAACAGTAATAAATATAAAATAGTTTCTTGGGGAAAGCAATCCTAGCTAAGTGCCAAATACATTCCTTAGATACATGGAAACAAGTTAGTATTTCATTCCAAAATAAAGCAAATGAGCCTTCCAAAATAGTAACAGATGATTCTGCTAAGCTAGAAGGGACTGTTGAGGGGGACTATTAATTTGAAAAGCTTATGGCTACAATAATTTTCTTCATTTGATATTTAAAAAAAATAACTTCACCCCCCCCAAAAAAAAACATTTCTTTATGGATCATTCAATTGAAGGGTGTTTCAATGAGATAAATTGATTCATTTTCTTCCTTTCAAACAGAAATGGATATTGTCATCTTCATTGCCAAAGAAATTAATGGTATACAAGAAGTAAGTCATGGTACTGGCTCAAAGCCAACTTCATGTCCAGGTCCTCTGCTGCCTCCTCTAGAAGCTACATCTGTCATGGTTCTCTCCTTGCAAATTATATCCCACAATTCACTCACACAACTTGCTTCTTTATAATCCTCATAGCAACCTTGTGTGTAAAGTCAGTTTTTACTTCATTTCTGGTAAACTGAAGCTTGGAGAAATAAAGGAACATGCCTAAAAGCAGGACACTAGCTCATGATACCTGGTACACATCTGTCTTAGTTATGGTTTCTATTGCTGTGGAAGAGACACCATGACCACAGCAACTCTTACAAAGGAAAACATCTAATTGGGATGGCGGTTTACAGTTTCAGAGGTTTAGTCCGTTACCATCATGGCAGGGAGCATGGCAGCTGGGAGTAAGGTAGCATGCAGGCAGACACAGTGCTGGAGAAGGAGCCAAGAATTCTACACCTTGATTCAAAGGCAACAAGAAGTGAACTGAGACTGGGGTGTGGCTTGAGCATATATGAGACATAGGAGCTCACCTCCACAGTGGCATACTTCCTCTAACAAGGCCACACTGATTCCAACAAAATCATACCTCCTAATAGTGCCACTCCCTGTGAGCTTGTGAGGGTCAATTGCATTCAAACCACCACAACACCCAAATCCAAACTGCTGCTTGCATTCTTCATGCTGCTGTCTAGTTACTGTCATTACTAGAGGAGACACGTTTTATAGATACAGGTTTGGGGAAGGCCAGGAAACTTGGCTGAAGCATGAAGAGCCGAAAGTAAGCAGTTACTTCTACAGAATATGGGATCTTGGCTGCCCAGGATCTGAGTCTCAAATGCTTCCAGTGAATCTGTGATAATCATACGTCATGTTCTATTTTAGAAGCCTGGGATAGATCAGCAACCAAAATGGTAAAGTCCTTGCCCTCTGGAATTTACATTCTTGTGGGATGAGACAAACATGAAACAAGTCATGAAATATAAAATTTGGCAAGTGGTGATGCATGATATGGAAAATTAAAGCAATAAGAAAGTGTGTGTGTGTGTGTGTGAGAGAGAGAGAGAGAGAGAGAGAGAGAGAGAGAGAGAGAGAGAGAGAGAGAGAGAGAGAGAGAGAGAGAGAGAGAGAGAGAGAGAGAGAGAGAGAGAGAGAGAGACAGAGAGAGAGACAGAGAGAGAGAGACAGACAGACAGAGAGAGACAGAGAGAGAGACAGAGAGAGAGAGAGAGAGAGAGAGAGAGAGAGACTTCTGTTGCTCAGGAAAGGCCATCAGATAAAGTCACATCTGAGATGGGACCTGAAAGAAGCAAAGGAGCAATATTTACAGATGTCTGAGGTGATGCCTTCTGAACAGAGAAAACCACAAATGTTAAGGTCTGATCTTGGTAGGTCCTAGAAGCCAACAAAGAAAAGCAAGCAAACAAACAAAAGCAGTCCATATCTGGGAGTTTATATTCATACACTTGCCTTCATGGACAAGACATTAAAACATAAAAGAAAAAATGTATCTGTTTTGGTTCCATGGTTTGGATATTTTTGTCCCCCAAAGGTTCATGTTTTGGGAATTTTTGCCCCGGCATAGTGAAACCTTTAAGGGCTACAGCCTAGCAAGAGATCCTTAGATCACCAAGGACAATTTCCCCTGGAGGAAGTATGGGTCTCCCAGAATGATGCTGAGTCTCACTTTGCGTTTCTATAAGGAGGTGTAACCCTTTTCTCTCTCACTTGTCAGTTACCATGAGGCTTTTAGCAAGCAGTGCTGTGTGAATGTGCAGCTTCTAGAACTATGGGCTAAATTAATTTCATTTCTTTGTAATGCTGTCTTGTAACAGGGTTTTAGTACAGTCCTATAAAGTAGACTGTTATGCAAGTTGAGGTTACATGCTATAAAGAAGCATAAATCTAGTGTAGTGGGATGGCTAAGGAGTCAACAGGCTTCAAGTCATCCAAAGCCAGCATTCGATTCTTTGTTTTGAGATTTTTCATTTTCATTCAACTCTAAAATGCATCAGTGCTTTTATTTGCTTTGTTTTGCTTTGAGAGAAGGTCTCACTATGTAGCCCAGGGTAACCTTGAACTGACTATGGTGGTCTTAAACCTATAAACGTCTTGTCTCTGCTTCCAGGTCCTGCTCTTCAGTGCTCCAGGAACCACAGGCCTGGTCCACCATGCCTTGCTGTTCTTTTTGAGCTATATTGTATATGGGATACTAAACAAAGAGATGGAATCAGATACTGCATGTAGGCTGCTAATTTGAAAGAGATGGACTCAGAATAGTCTGGTTGTGGTGAACACTTACCTTTCTGAGATTCCTTCATACACCCTATGAAGCAGTTTCCCAAAGGCTGAGCTATCCAACCAGCTCACTCCATGGAAGAGGAGCCTGGGGACTGTTGAAGAAGGGTTTAGTATTTACTACAACAAAGTCCGTCTGGTGTTCTGTGCTAGTCCCTACAGCTCATGACCACTGATCTTATTTTAGATTCCAGCCCACAAGCCTTCTCGTGTGGACACCAAGCCTGGCTGAGCTGAATCTCCACATAAGGCTGCCGCTCTCTGTCGACAACACCATAATGAGACAGCCGCTTCTCCCTGTTGCTACCCGAGGCTGGGTGCCGCCATCTGAGGAGCATACTGCAGGGCTCACCACCTCTCCAGAGACAACTCCGCCTGTGTGCTCAGTGTTTGAGAGGAAGTACAAGACACCAGAGGGTGCTTGTTCAGGTATACATTTCAGGTGAAATTTTTGAGTCCCAGGTGAGGCTATAGCCTTGAACATGGGATTCTTCTGGGAGTAATTTATCATTTAATGCACAGAGACTGGAAATGAAAGTGCCCTGCACTTACATATTGTAAAGGCCAAACACATTCTCTTTTTAGTCTTAAAATTTTTCATACCGTATATACTGATCATGTTTTCCTCCCCCAACTCCTCCCATACCCTCTCTACCTTTATGTACCCACACAGCTTTATGTTCTATCTCTGTCTCTCTCATTCTCCCCCTTTCAAAATAACCCACAAAAACACAAAATGAAAATCAAAATAATCAAACAAACAAAAACCCCCTAATGGAAGGTGCCAAACAAGACAAAATGATAAACAAACCAATAACAAAAGATACCAAAAAATACACGGAGTTCATTTTGTATTGGTTAACTACTCTTGGGCATGAGGCCTGCCCTGAAGTGTGCTTGGCATACTTCATAATGGCATACCCAGTGACACTCCATTGGAGAAAATGGAGTTTTCCCTTTGCCAGCAGGTTATCAATTGCAAGTCGATTCTTGGTCAGTGGTAGGACCACATGTCCACTTCTGACTCTCAGCCCTGGGACCCTGTCTGGCTCAAATCAGGGCAAGCAAAAGACCTCTTATGCTTTTTGCCAGAGTTTCTGTGAACTCGTATAGGTATCATTCTGGTTGTGTCTGGAAGACATTGAGTCCTTGGAGTCATCCATCACCTCTGGCTCTTACAATCTTTCTCCTCCTCTTCCACATAGATCCCTGAGTCTTGAGAGGAGGGGGATGGGATGAAGACATACCACTTAGAATTGGGTGCTCCAAAGTCTCTCACTCTATACACACTGCCCATTTATGGGTCTCTCTATTTGTTCCCATGCACTGTAAGAAGATGCTTCTCTGATGAGGGCTGAGTGAGGCCCTGATCTATGGGTATGGCAGAATGTCATTAAGAGTCATTCTACTGCTCTGTTCTTCTAACAGAATAATAGTAGTAGGGTTTCTCCAAGGCCCACAACCTATTTAAGACCAGGTTCTTGGCCACTTTGGAAGTGTCCTGCGTAGGTTCCATCTCATGGAGTCTGCCTTAAATCCAATCAAAAAGTGATTTGTTATCCCCAAAACATTTGTGTCATTATCACATTATGTTGTATTATACCAGTATATCTTTCAGACAGATTATTGTTGCAAGTCATAGGGGTTTTAGATGGGAGATATTGGTAATTAAGTTTCTCCTCCAGTAGAATACAGAGTATCTTCCAGTACCCTGAACACTAGTCAGTAAGGGTGAAGCTTTATCTGGGCCCCAGGTCCACTTCTATGTGTCAAATGATATAAGTAAGTGTTGGAGCCACTAATTGTGCAGCGCTCATCTTATTAGAAAAATGGGATTGCACATCTCTGCCACTGGCTCTGAACTACTTTTGTGAACAAGAGCTGTATCTTAGAAATACATCGTATCCATGATGTGAGATGCCTCAGCTGCCATCCAGACAGAACTGGTACTGGATACACTTGCTGAGTGATGTTGTAATTCAAACCTGCCTGGGGCTGTGAGAAATGAGGGTGCTTCCCACCCATAGACTTGGAGAAGTTGCCAACTAGTGATAAGTCACCATTAATTATTCACTCAGCCAAGTTGATAATGTGTTGAAAAATAAAATGACTATGTGATTATCCTGATATTGACCGTTAAAAGTTTGTGATGGATGGCCCTCACCTCACCTTTGCTCTTTGTCAGTCTCAAGTCTTCTTAAATGCTTTTTTTTTTCTGTTTGTTCATCCATACTGGATCTATTCTGAGGCAGACATGTTGCTATGGCCACCACAGCCAGCATTGATACATTCTCCCTCATGCTGGCCACAGTCCCTGGTAACTATCAGCTTTTCAGATGTAAGTGACAAGAGTGGAAAGCAAAATCTGTGAGAAAAAATATGAAATTAGATCCCAGCATTGGATCTAATTGTTCCCCCATTATGTCAAGATGATCTCATGTTTCTGAGTGTCCTGTGGTGACTCTCACAGGAGAGGGCTTAACCAGGACAGAATTGACTCTCATAACAGACCCATGACTCTGGGCAATGGTGCCTCTGGCCAACTAAAGAAAGACAACTAAAAATCCAGTTTCCAAATTCACATTGCTCTTGAAGGCTACAGAGAAGAGTCAGTCTCCTCAACAATTTGACAGAATTGAAGCCACTTCATTTTCAGGAATTTGCAAAGAGTAGATTATCCCAGAACCATTTTCTGAAGCCAAGAACAAAACTTCAATAACAGGTCAGCTCTCACATGTCCCCTAATCTAAGACTTTCCAAATTTTGTGTTGAAATAACAATTCCAACACCCATCTCCCCTACTCCCCTCAACCAAGAGGTCACCCATCTCATCATTTTTTGTCTTAACTTTAAACATTGAAACTGCTTATTCTTGCTTTCATGGATTTTGTTTATTTACAGGGGATTTGCTGTGTTTGTTGTCAAACATTTGATCTTTTGCTTCCTGAATTCCTCTAAGATTTCTACTAGCTAATGTGGCTTTCATGTTTCCAACAGAAATAACAAACAAAAACACGACAGAAATGCAAGCATCTTTCTGAAATGTGGGGGCATCTGGGTTATCACCAAAATCGGCCAGAACAAGGGGATTCCGAGGAACTGTCTGAGGAGACAAATCACATTAAATGTGTTTATTTGGTTTTCTGAAATGCCCTTTCCTCTGGCTTCATTTACATTTCATTCATATGAAGTTCTTCAACCTGAGACACATTTTGTTCTACATAGTTTTCTGAGTTCACTTTCACAAGCAGCCAGAGAGTGAGACAGATCCTAAACAAACTCTCGGGTGATGGAAAGCTCTGCACTTATTGGAGTGAGAGGACCAGAGTCCGCCTCCTCTACAGAAGTAGTGTTTTCACAGTCCCCAAGGAAGCAGATCCTTTGCTGCTTAGCCAGCTGAGAGGGTGTAGGGCTACTCGAAGGATCAAGGGTTAGTGGATAAGTTTTAAATTCCTCAACTAGGCCAAATTTGTTAGTCTTGATCATGTCCAATTTGAGTTAACCAAGTTCTAATTAAGCAAGGTTTGTTTTAATGAAGTCCCTTGTCTACCTGGACTTGCAATATTGCAGACTTCATTCTTAATTAAGGTAAGGAATTCCTTTTGGCTCCCACAGCCAGAATTTTCCATTTGTTCCATGTGGAGTGCCAGTTGGCTTCCACAGCCTGCAAGCATGTGCCTTTGGCACAGCTGGACAATTTATGAACTTCAGTGGGATTAAAAAGGTGCCATATCCTTGAGAAACATTCCAGTAACCAAGATTTCTTTTTATTTGCACCACTGACCAACCTGATCCAAGCAATAATGAGCACGTGCCTAACAGAGGTGGGGAACAGCGGATGTCAACAGCAATGCTCCAAAAGAAGTCTCTTTTTCTGCCTAAGCCTGAATTCCATGAAGAGCAATATGGAACCCATCAGCCAGCATTCTGACTTCAATTTGGTTCCAAAAACAATCTGCAGATGGAAGAACAAAGTACCCTGGGCAGTCTTTTCGGTCACCTGGGATTCTCGAGAGCACAGAGAGATCAGCATGCCTGAGAGATCTGCATGACAGCAGAGCTGGCACCAGAGAACCCAGCTCCAGCTCCCCCACTGTCCCTTTGGAGCCACAGGTTAGAAGACCTTGAATAATCATTTCACTTCTCTGAGCCTTGGCCTTCTCATCTGCAAAGAGAGAGAGGGTGAGTAGACCCATGTTTCTCAAGCCATCTGTGATGAAGGAACACATCTTCTCTCCTTACTTGCCTTCCAGCAATCCACTGTACACTGAGCTTTTGGGAGGAACAATAAAAAACAAATTGTCAGAAAAGAATATGGTAAATGTTTGAATGTTGAAGCAATGTCAAGTTGCTAGAAAAGTCTCTGAATGTTTACCTTTCCTGTATTTCTATCACCATAAACTGCTAAAAGCATATGGGACATCAGTGATACGTGAACCATGAGGAGCATTGGACTAAATAATGTCTTGGTCCCCTCTCAGCTGTCAGTCCCTACTTCTCATAATGAACCTCCATATCTACTAGGTTTTCCCAAGCACCCAAATGTGAGCTTTATGGCATAGTTACATTTACATTTCTGGAGTACCTTCCAGAATCTGCCAGCACTCCTGTAGAAAAATACTATACTATAAAGTGGATGGCTGGTAAGCAACAGACCTCCCATCCTCTTGAACTGTGAGAAGCTCTAGAGGATGGGAGGTCTAAGGCCAAAACACTAGCGTTTGCCCTGTCTGATGAGAGCTGGTTCTTGGTTCATAGCTGACTGTTGTGTTCCCATGCTAGAATGAGCAGGGGGTCTTCCTGGTGTCTCTTTTCTAGAAAAAAAAAGATATTAACCCCCTTCCCTCATGACCTAATCTCCTCTCAAAGGCCCCAGTTTCAAACACCACCACTCTGAAGGTTAGGATGTGAACCTACAAATTTTGAAAGGACATAAATATTGAGTTTGCAGAGTGGAGGGACCATGCAACAAAGACAGAAATGATTATTATGCAACTAGTAATATCTCTAGCTCTCTCTCCCTCTTTCTGTCATTCTCTCTGAACAGTAATAAGGAATCCTGGCAGTGCCCCATGGAACCCAAAGCAAACCATGTACCCTATTGGTGCCTCATGGTTTTCATGAGGTTTTCATCTCTAAAATGGTGTGTGTGTGTGTGTGTGTGTGTGTGTGTGTGTGTGTGTGTGTGTGTGTGTGTGTAGGTGAGCATGGAGGTAAACATCACATGTGTTGCTCTTTCCCTGCTCACCACCCTATTTTTGGAGGCAGCCTCTTTCTCTCTGACACCCAGTCTCTCTGATTTAGCTAGACTAGCTGGCAAACAAGCCCCTCCCCACTTGAAACTGCCTGTGACCCCCATCTTCAGCAGTGGGATTACAGATGTGTGCTACAGTACCAACTTTTTACACAGGTTCTAGGGAATTGAATTCCCATCTTCACGTTTGCATAATGAACACTTTACTGACTGGGTTACATGCTCAATCCCTGGGAACATTTTGGATAGAGGTTTATCTTGATATAATTTTAGCCTAGAGAAAAGTTGTTAGGTTAGTGTAAGAAATCCTATTTTCATTCTGATGCCTTCTTTTCTCAGTAGCCTTGTCATTTTCTTTCTGCTTTCCCCTCCATTTCTTCTTTCTTTTCTCTTTTCTGAACTACTTGAGTGTAGCACACATCTATCATGCTCACTGGACTTTTGGGAGTATTCATGAAATTGATACATATGAAATGCTTGAAAACTGCCTGGCATACACAGTCAGCTCTCATTAATCATTAGGCATTATGCTTAATTTTCAAAGACCATTCTCGACATTCAAAGGGAGCTCAAACACTATCTATCTCTTGGAGTCTACTCCACACGGACTCTCCAGCATGTTGAAGACCCGCCTCTGGGGCTCTGCCCTTCTCAAATATTTATGTCAGGTTCACTTACTATCAAATGTGTTGAATTTGACCAACTGGGGGGAAAAAGGTTTCTGTGCCATATATAGCTAGCCTTGAAAGCGAGTGCAAAGCGTGTCTGCTCTAAATTACCCTATGGCATCAAATCCAAACAATTCTGGGGTTTGAACTTTTTTTAAAAAACAGACTTGAGATACTACTGTTAACAAAATACTAAGTTGATGTATAGTGACTAAGATCCAAGCGCCTACTAGGCTTACTATTCTCTCTGTTTTCTGGGGAAACAAGAGTACTGGTTTCTAGGAAATTCATATATTACCCTTTGAACAAAGCTCCCTGAACTTCTCCAATGCCTCTTTTTTCTGTTATCCAATATCCTTGCTGATTTGCATAACGTCTCCATGTCAGTGTTAACTGTGGTTCTGGTTTAACTCCAAGCTGAACCAGAACATCCCTGTTTAGCATTCTCCCCTTGGGTTCCTTTGCTTCCTGATTTGCTGCCTCATCCAGATTTTGCTAGGCTGAATTGAATTAAGATGGAAAAAAGTTACTGATTCAGCTTCATCTTCCTGAATCCAGACTCAGCTGCAGAGAAAGCAGGACTGTTCAGTCAACACTCATTTTTTAAAATTATTCCACGTGAGTCATACACCAGAAAGAAATCAAATCACTGAGGATCTGGTTTCCAGAAAGGCCTGCTCTTCCAAAGCCAGAATCTAGAAGGCTGGGTGACTTGTCTTGATAACTCATTGCTCTTTGAAGTAGATTTGAGTGAAGGCCACATCACTTCCTGTTTTTTTCCCTCAGAATTACCACATGACAACAGGAAACCATATCATTACTCCAGTAGGGTTCATCCATCAAGACTTTGTGATAAACAGCACCTAGTGATGGAAAAGGAAGCAAAGTAGGAGTCTCTTCCTTCCCAAGAAGAATTACATATGTACATCTACAGCCAACTTAGTCTTGTCTCAACCTCTTCTGGGGGAGACAATACCAGTTATACTCACAGTCCTCAATGATTTGCTCTTAGTATTTGGCTAAAGCATTTTAGGGTATTGTGATAATGGCATTCCTTGGGCTAATCTACTGCAGCCAAGAGAGCCAAAGTCATGTTATGCTTCCTTCAGGGCAATCTCAGAATGTGTAGATACTGAGTAGCCATGAACTTAGATTTCTGGATGGCCTAATGTTTTTAATAGAGCAAGTCACCCCATCTGTCAAATACTTGGCTCCATTCTTAAAGGTTAGTGACAGCAGCTCTCACTCCTCAGTCACAGCACTGATGCATCTCCCTCCTGAAAAGGAACTCACATCTCTGGGGCTGTTATAGACTCCGACATGAAAAGGAAGTCCCCACTTACACCTCCCACAGCCCACATGGCCCATACAGCTTCTAGCAGTACCACCCCCTCCTCAAAAGATTCAGGGGGCTGATAGCAATGATCCTCGTCCAGTTCACTTGAAAATCTAAAGTATGGTTCCTTTAATAATGGACTAGGGGTGCAGCTCAGCAATAGTGCAATTGCCTCCCATGCTCTTGGATAGGTAGGATCAACATAGCAAAAATGGCAATTTTGCCAAAAGCAATCTACAGATTCAATGCAATCCTCATCAAAATCCCAACACAATTCTTCACTGACCTTGAAAGAACAATTCTCAACTTTATATGGAAAAACAAAAGACCCAGGATAGCCAAAACAACCTTGTACAATAAAGGAACTTCCGGAGGCATAACCATCCCTGACTTGCTCTATCATAGAGCTGTAGTCCTGAAAACAGCTTAGTATTGGCACAAAACTTGACAGGTAGACCAATGGAATCAAATTGAAAACCCCAATATTAGCCCACACACCTATGAACACCTGATCTTTAATAAAGAAGATAAAATTATACAATGGAAAAAAGAAAGCATCTTCAAAAAATGGTGCTGGCATAACTGGATCTGGACATGTAGAAGATTGCAGATAGATCCATATCTATCACCTTGAACAAAACTTAAGTCCAAATGGATCAATGACCTCAACATAAATCCAGCCATACTTAACTTATTAGAAGAGAAAGGGGGAAGTACCCTTGAATGAATTGGTACAGGAGATCACTTCCTAAACATAACACCAGTGGCACAGACACTGAGATAGACAATTAATAAATAGGACCTCCTGAAACTGAGAATTTTCTGTAAGGCAAAGGACACAGTCAACAAAACAAAATGGCAGCCAACCCCACATCTGACAGAGGGCTGTTCTCCAAAATTTACAAAGAACTCAAGAAGCTAGTCTCCAAAACAACAAATAATCCATTTAAAAAGTGTGGTACAGAACTAAACAGAGAATTCTCAATAGAAGAATCTAAAATGGCTGATAGACACTTAAGAAAGTGCTTAACATGCTTAGCAATCAGGGAAATACAAATCAAAACAACTCTGAGATACCATCTTACTCCTGTCAGAATGGCTAAAATCAAAAACACCAATGACAGTTTATGCTGGAGAGGATGTGGAGAAAGGAGACCACTCTTCCACTGCTGGTGGGAGTGCCAACTTGTACAGCAACTTTGGGAATCAGTATGGAGATTCCTCAGGAAAATGGGAATCATTCTACCACAAGATCCCCCAATTCCACTCTTAGGCATATACCCAAAAGATGCACATTCATACAAGGACATCTGTTCAACTTTGTTCATAGCAGCATTATTTGTAATAGCCAAATACTGGAAGCAACCTAGATGCCCTTCAACTGAAGAATGGATGGAGAAAATGTGGTACATTTACACAATGGAGTACTACTCAGTGGGGGTATGTGGGAGGAGACAATGGAATCTTGAAATTCGCAAGCAAATGGATGGAACTAGAAGAAACCATCCTGATCGAGGTAACCCAATCTCAAAACGACAAACATGGTATGTACTCACTCATATATGGATTTTGGACATAGAGCAAAGGATTACCAGCCTACACTCCACACCTCCACAGAAACTAGGAAACAAGGAGGATGCTAAGAGGGTCCCCTGGAGAAGGGGAAAGGGACAAGATCTCCTGAGCAAATTGGGAGCCTGGGGGGAGGGGAGAGGGAGCTAGAAAAAAGAGAAGGTGAGAGGAGGACATGAGGGAGCAGGAAGTTTGAGCCAGGGAAAGAATAGAGGAGAAGATAAGAGATGCTGTAATATTGGGAGCCATTATAGGTTTAAAGAGAAATCTGAGAATGACCCCAACTAACAATCTAAGCAATAGTGGAGAGGCTACCTTAAATGCCCTTCACCAATAATGAAATTGATGACTACCTTATGTGCCATCGTAGAGCTTTCATCCAGTAGCTGATGGAAGCAGAATCAGACACCCACAGCTAAACAATGAACTGAACTCCCGAAACCCAGTTGCAGAGAGGGAGGAGTGATGA